GTTCTAGGCCGTCTTCTGGCTGTGCAGAGAGAAGTGCTGTTTACCTCTGACCGTGAGAATATGCGTCGAGAGGTCCGTACCCGTCCGCCTGCGCGTTCAGTGGCAGAGCGAATGTGCAGGCTCCAAGATCGTGGTCACAAATGTGATGTTCGCTCGACGTCTTTCAAGTGCAGTCTGTGTGCACGCTCGGTCAGTCGGAGAGGCCCTCTCTGTGAGTTCTGGCCTAGCATTTGTAAACCCCGTGCAGAGATAAATCAGCGAATTCAGGCCCTCCCTGCTATGGGCGCACCTGTCCCTCCTCGCAGGGGGCCTTCTCCTCCTCCTGATGACCTTTGGCCTCGGGAGGCGGGGGTGGCTGAGCTGTGCCATGCCTCGCACAAGCTAGCCGCGTATCGAGGAGCTTTGTTTTGTGAAACCTGTGGGTGTCATTGTGTTGGGAACCCACGGAATTTGAGGTCGGATTGCTTGCATCCTACAAATGCTGGCAATGAAATGCTCAGCGGACTGAAGAAGAGTTTGGCGGCAGTTTCCCTGATTTGTGAGTTGTCTCAGCGTGCCCAGCCCTGCAGCAGGTCACCACGCATAGAGGTAGAATATACTAGAAATTCATCCCCCTTCTCCTCCCGTCGCCAGCCGTCGTCATGCCAACCGACAGTGACCAAGATGGACGGTGACCAAGATCGACACCGATGATTCCGCGTTTGGTCTTGGTCATGGCTCTCGCTTTCCTCCCCTCCACGATGGAGGGCCCTGAGACATTGTTGGGGGCGGATTCCCAACCGTGTCCTTGAGGGCTCGTTCACGGAACCGCTGTGGGGCCCATTTTTGGGCCGCATTGGAAGTCTCTTCAGCCCGTCTTGGCGGCCCAGGGGGCTGTTTTCGGACCCTCGTTGGCCTTTTTGGACACTCTTGCGATAGAAGATGCAATAGTATTGAAATCCTGATTTCGTTTGTGTTTGGACGGTGTGGAGGTTCTTCGCTGACGCCCAGGGAGCCCACGACGGCCCAAGAGGCCCCAAAGAGAACTCGAAGACGCGCCCATGGATCGAATAAGAATCAATGCATAAACATGAATGTCCGACGGTCCGCGCAGACTTGTTGGGTCTGCGCTGCTGGCGCCGCCAGGGGGGTCCAGCGCAGGGCCAAGAAATCCGCGCGGACCGTCGAAAGTTAAGATATAACCGCTACCTGGTGAGAATCATCCCCTGGGGGGAGAATATTGTTCCCGGAGATATCGATGTTAGGATGTCTGGATCGCGTTTCGCCTGAGGCATCCTCACAATCGGAGCTACGATCGCAGCTTGGGAGGTGATAGTAAAGTTCGGCCTCCCCGCCTGCTGTTTCAATTGCACCACGCTCCATCCCGCGGATAGAGAGGCCACAAGGGGGGGGATGATGTTTTCTGATCTGGGGGCTGGGGTTATGCCGTCCGTTCTTCCTCCAATGGGGCCCTCTTGGCCCATGTCTCGGAGGTACTGTGGGGGCGCGCATCAAGAAACCATGTGTGCTTTTGGTTCGGGTATCCTGGGCTGCTTCGCTCCTCGCGCTGCGCGGTGACTTCCCGCAGCCGTTGAAGGAGCTGCTGCGTTCAGGGTGCTCCAGGTCTCCACTCAAGTGCACCTCGCGCACGGGTTCTGAGGCAGGGCTGAACCTAAACGGTGTGGTTCGTTTTCGTTTTGTTTTTGTTTTCCCTCGTTTTGTCTTCAATCCGCCTTTACCGCAAAACGACATCGAAACGAAAACGGCCCACGAAATCGCCAAAACACCGTTTGGGTCCAGCCCTGTTCTCAAGGTCGGGTTTTCTGCGAGGGTTCCTTGCGGCCGTGCCCCGCACTGCATGGCTCCCCAGCCGCGGCGGCGGGCCTCGGGAGAAGCCGCGCGACGAGGCCCGCGCGCACGGGAGCGCCCGGCGTGCGCCCTCTGCACTCGGGCGTGTGAGGCCCCGGAGCGGGACACATCAGATGGGGGCGGGTTTTCTCCATTCCTGGGCCCCGAGAACCCACCCCCACCCCCAGTCCCGACTCCTTGAATCGCGGGTTCGGGGATGGAGTCGGGACTGGGGGTGGGGGTGGGTTTTCGCCGTCTCAACTCAAGAGAGGGGGTCGGAGCTCAAGAGACGGGGGCCATCGAAAGGAACTCGCGAAGCCCCCTCCCCGAAGCGGCGCTCGCCGAGGCGAGGTCGCCCAATTTTTGGCACCTGCTGCTCGGTGCATTTTGCTTACAGCATGTCCAACATATTCCCACATATGCATTCCACCCCCACGGGGGTCAGCCAGGGCACTGGATCCTGCAGGATCCTGCGGAGACCCCCTCTGGCTGACCCGGGTCAGCGAGCCGCTCGTGACCGCGGGGTGGCCGCGCATATTGGCTGACCCGGGTTTGCGAAGCCCTGCGTTGCAGTTTTTGTTTCTAGCATTGCAGTTTCTTGGTTCGTTGCTGACCCGGGTCTGATTTACCCGGGTTAGCAGATCCCCGACGGGGGCCGATGCAAGTCCAGACCCCCTCGCGCCGTGACAAAAATCACGACCAGAGAGCGCCGAACTATGCAGGATCGCCAGTGATGCATTGGCCCGGGCTTGGGCGCAGGATCCTGCAGGATTTTGCCCCTGGATGGCCTGACTGACCTGGGTTTGGATTGACCCGGGTCAGTAGATCCCCGACCAGAGCACACCAGCAACCAATTCACATCCACAACGTTGGAGCAATCGAAAAAGAAACGGCGCAAGCGTACACACTCTTCCGGAGCTCCGCGCAGATTTTCTTGGGGCGGCCAAGGGGCCCCTTGGCGGCGCCTCCGGCGCCGCCACTGGCGCGCTAGAGGGGTATTCAAAAATGATTTAAAACAGTCAGGTGACGATCTTTTGACAACTTGATTTAATAGTTGGAACAGTTTTGGACTATGCTTAAAATGCTCTTTATAACATTTGCCTCTAGGGGGACATGCCCGACCTGAGGCTTGGCATCGCTGGGACGTGTGCGTTTCTTCTCGGCGTGGGCCTTCGAGGATCGCCCCATCGATCATCGGGCCAGCACAAGCAAAAAACGCACGAAGCCGACAAATGCACGGGGAAGGGGCGTGTGAGCGACGGCGAGGGGGGGGGGGCTCAGCGCAGATCCAAGACATCCGCGCGGAGCTCCAAGAAGATGTGTGTATCCAGTTGTCTCCTCCGCGGCCGCCCCACCTGTCTCGGGGGCGGAAAAGAGGAGGGTGATGACTAGGCGGGGGGTTGGATTTCATGGCGCGGGCCATGATTTTTCCTCAGATTTCATGGCGCCTCTTCTTATTTCATTACGACCCTGGCCCCCCCGCTTGGCCGCGCACATGCCGCCGGTCATGATTTGCACCCCCCCCTCTTGGACACCCCCCTCTTTGCCGCTCCCGACTGTCTGTGTCATTTCTCCTGCACGCCGGACGGTTCGCTTCTCGGTGGCCCCGTTTGGCCCGACCGCCCGGTGCGGCAGTTCTGCCTCGCCGCCGACGAAAAGTGTATGCAGCTGCTTCGAGTTCCAGAGGGGCTCCGGTTTTCGGGCTGCCTCCTAGATATCGAGGTCTCGTGGAGCCCATTCGTCGCCTGCTAGGCTCGCCGTGAGCAGAAGAAAAGCACCTTCGCTCCTCGTTCAAGTGGGCGCCCCTGAATGGGCAGAGCGCCTTTTTGGAACGCAGAGTTTGTTGGAGGGGGGTCGAAGACTGCGCCTGTTGGCCCAAACGGACGCGAAAGATTGCCCAGGAGGGCCTCAAGAGGCTCCGCAAACAAACGACCCAGTAAGGCGCCAGAAAGGTTCGAGAATATGGGGCGAGAAACCGAAGAGGGATACGGGGAGGCCAAAGGGAACGACACGAGAGCGACACGATTTAGTTGGGTGGTCCAGGAGGCCCCCCCCCCGAGAGCACCCCTCCTGGGCGCGCCCTGGGCGGGCCAAGAGGGTTCCAAAAAGGCGGCCAGACGAGCCGAGCTGGTTCTGAGAGGCCTCGAGAAAGGGGGAGGAGGAGGAGGAGGAGGAGGAGGAGGAGGAGGAGGAGGCCCCATCGAGACCTTCAAGAGGCGGAAAAGGTTCAGGCCGAAGCAGCAAGAACTATCCAAAGCCCTTGTTGGAGAAGAGGGCGTGGGAGGGGTCCGAGGCGGCCCCCGAGGGCCCAGAGCATGGGCCCGAGGAGAAGGCTTTTCTTGGAGAAGAGGGCCCTGGGGAGGTCCGAGGCGGCCCCCGAAGGGCCCCCGAGCAGGCGCCAGACTGGACCCCACCAGAGAGGCCCCCGAGAGCTTGCCGACGGGAGGGCCTCTGCGGCGAGGCCCCGAGCGGCGCCCCGCGGCGCCCCGAGGCGTCCCGTGCGGGGGCCCCGGCGGAGGGCGGAACGGGCCGCGGGAGGGCCCCCCCGCGGAGGGGCCGGCCGGGGCTCTGACTTCGTGGGGGGCCTCTAGGGGGCCGCGCGGCGGCACGCCGGGGCCCCAGGCAAGAGCACGACGGAGGGTTCTTGTCTCCCCGTTTTCGGCCTCGGGGGGCCCCGACTGGCCCTCGGGGCCGTCAAAAGGCGACTCAGGAAGGAAAGCGGGTCCCGGCGAATGGGTCCGGACCTCTGGGGGCGCGTCATGAAGAAATCATGATGTCGGGACTTTGGGGCCTCTCGAGGGTCTCACCTTGGGATCACTGGCGCTCCGCCCGGATTTCGTGGATCTGCGCTGGAGGCGCCGGAGGCGCCGCCAGGAGGGGTCCCAGCGCAGATCCAAGAAATCCGCGCGGAGCGCCAAACGTGTACTTCGGGTTTCTTAATAAGCGTGGTAAGCGTGGGGGGGTACCCCCCGGACGGGGGTCAACCTCGCCTCGTCGTCGCGCCGCGACGGGGGTCGGAACGCTTTCGGCGCGCGGTGGCTGCCCGCGACGGGGGTCGATGTGAGGCTGCCGACGGGGGTGACGCCCCTCCGACGCTTATTAAGAAACTCGGAGTCTGTATGTGCTTGTTCGGGAATGTTGTCTGCGGTGTTGGAGCACCGCCGTCCTGGCAGCATCGGTCCATTGACACGATGGCTCAAGTTTTTCTGGCTATGCAAGTGGCCCGCGCCACGATCCTGGAGCTCGCGCGCGGGATCAGCACCGGGGCGGCCCTGTGGGGCGCGACCCATCCGTGCCCGACCTGTGCACCTGTCGTGTACTGCCCAGCGGTGCCCGCCTCGACGTGCGTCTGCCCGACGCCCTCTCCGCTGGCGGTGGCTGGCGGAGCGCTGTTGGTGGCGCTGCTCATCGTCGGCGCCTACTTGCTCGGTGCGCTGTGGGGGCTGCCGACCCGCGAGGTGCGGGTAGTGCACTCGCTCGGGTCGCAAGTGGCGGTGACGGACGACGCGACGGCGTTGAGGCAGCAGGCCCAGGCGCAGCTCACTTTCGTCCGCAGCCGAAGCTCCGCTGTGCGTCACGATGGCGCTTAACCCTGGGGACTATGTGCTTGTGAGATATCGGGGCGTGCCAGGCCCTGTCGTGCATCATGCTCGGCTGGTGGTGGCTGTCCGTCCAGGGACCGCCGACTGCTACGGTGTGACACCCGACCAGGATCACTACGAGGAGACGTACGCCGTGGGCGGGGACTTCGAGAGTGTGCACATCCTGTCGCACGCGCTGGAGGTCCCTGCAGGTGTGGTGGCGGCTCAGATCTATGGCTTCAGGGCCGCGCCAGCCCAGGCTGTCGTCGATGCGTGCGCGATGCTGGGGGCCCACACTCTGGGCGTGCCGTGCGCGCCGCTCCCGCTCGTCGCGCACTGCAATCCGCCCGGCGCGGCTGCAGGGGCGGCAGCAGCGGGTGGCGGGGCCGCGGTGGCAGCCGCCGCGCCCGCGGCCGTGCCAGCGGGAGCGGTGGTGCCCGCTGGGGGCCCCGCGCCGGCCCCCGAGGCTGGAGCGCTCGTGCCCCCTGGCCGCGTGGCCGCCGCTGGCGCTGACGGCGCCGCCGCGGGCGCCGCGCTCGGCATTTCGCCCGGGCTGGGCGGTGGTGCCGCCGCAGCCGCCGCTGCCCCTGCAGGAGCGCTGGTGCCGCCGCCGGGCAACTGCTGGTATGCGTTGGAGGATCGCGCAGGCTACTCGATTGGGGACCTCGTCTGCCACCAGCTCCCCGCTGGCGCCCTCAGCCTTGGAGATCGGGCCATCGCCCACGGGGCTGGCGTATCCATCTCGGTGGCGCTGCCCTCGATCGCCGACGCACTTGCGCTGGCCAAGGGCGATGCACGCGCGATGGCGGTGAAGCATGATGCGCAAGGCGAGCGCCGTCGCACGTGGGACGATGCGGTTGCCAGCTCATCGGAGGAGCCGATCCCTGGCGGCTGGGACTTGCAGTGCCCGAGGACGGTCCTCTGGTTCATGAAGCATGTGAGGGGCAGCGGGAATAGTGCCTTCCACGCCCACGAGAACTGGGTCCGCCTCTCGAAGGTGCCGTCGGGGGACAGGAGCGTCTACGAGCATGAGGTGCTCAGCAGGATGTTCGGCGCGGCGGTGCTGCACGACCAGCTGAACTGCCCGTCGCTGCTCGCGTTCGAACTCACGTCGAGGAGGCTCGCCCTGATAAAGGAGGCCCATCGAGTGTCGCCAAGCCAGCCCGACTACACGGCCGCCGATCAGTTCACGGGCTGGAGCCGTCGTGCAGGAGGCGCCGCGATCTCGCCGGGCCTGTCGGCCCACGTCGCCGACCAGCTCAAGCAAGAGGCAGCGATCATGAAGGAGGCTCGCAAGTCGAGGGGGGAGGCCGCCGCCCGCAGCAAGGGTCGTGGCAGAGGAAGTGGCCAGCCGCCTGCCGGAGGCGGCGGGGGGCAATGACGCGCCGCGGGCCGAGGGGGCGGCGATTGGGCCCGCCGGCCCCCCTTGCTCGCCATCCCCGCTATCCCGTGCCGGCGAAGGGTAGCGAGGGTAGGCGTGTGCCCAGGGAGCTCTTCCCGCTCCCGAGTTTTGAAGAGGCGACGCCAGACGCCCCGCATCTCTCTCATTCCGTTCGCCAGCGCCTACGACATCGGCACGCCAAGGGAGTCAGGGCCAATGAGTGCATCGAGGCCTTGAAGAGCTCTACGGCATGCCAGCTTCTTCGGCGCAGGCACCGCCAACGGCGGACAGGGGCGCGGCCCAAGCAGCGGCTCAGCGCACAGTTTTGAGGCATGTTGATCCCGCTCGAATGCGTTCTTTTTCGCAGCAGCGAGAAGCCGCCCGCGAGCTTCTCGGCTCCGACCTCGTCTACGACAGTGGAGAGGTTCCAAGTACTGTGGCCAGGTATGACGCCGCGCGGATCGCGGTTCCGGAGGAGTTGGAGCAGCCTCCAGCCGCACTTGATGTTCTCGATCCCGAGGGGGCTCGTTGCCTGAGGGAGTTTCGAGCGCGTATGATGCTATCTGAGGATGAGTTCGGCCAGCGCTGTGAGAGTGACGATCCAGTGATTCCCTACATGGACCCGACGCTGGCCGCAGACGTGCACAAGTATGCTGACTTCGTGGCGCGACTGGACCGCGCGAGTATGCGGAGGTATTCGACAGACGGTCAGGACCTCATCACGCCGTTCTTTGTTCGTAAGAAGTCAGGGCAGTTGCGGATTGTATGGGGCTGCAGAGCTGTCAACACTCGTTTCGCCAGGTGCCCAAAGATGAATATGTCGTCTGGGAGTAAGCTGGCGGATCTCGAGTTCGGCCCGAAGGAGGAGGTGTTCACCGCCCAGGCGGACTTGAATAACTACTTTTATCACTTGGGCATCTCTGAGGAGCTGTCAGAGTTCTTCGCCCTGCCAGCGCTCGATGTCAGCCTGCTTAGGACCAAGTGCAGGCTGCCGTCGGACATCTCAGCGCGCCCAGAGGGCAGCATGGTGTCGCCCTGCTTGGCGGTGGCACCGCTGGGATGGAGCTGGGCGATGTGGGTTGCTCAGCGCGTGGTCTATCACCAGTCCGTTTGCAGCCAGGCGGCGCCCGTTGACCGCATCCTGAGTGACGAGCGCCCTGCGCCCGACATGTCGGACGGCCGTCCTGCGCTGCTTGCCTACGCCGACAACATCAATGTCGTGGGCTCTGACGCGCAGCGCACAGGGAAGATGCGGGATGAGTTGGTTGATCACTTCAGGAGCATCGGGTTCATTGACCATGAGATCTCGGGGCCCTCGGTTGACGCCGTCATTCTGGGCTACAAGGTCATGGGGCGCGAGAAGCTCGTCGTGCCCACGGATCGCAATCTGGAGTTGTTGAGGGCCGCAGGGCTCTGGCTCCTTCGGCGCCTCCGCATCAGCGGCAAAGCTGTGGAGCGGTTCGTGGGCCACTGCGCCCACCTTTGCCTTCTGCGTCGTGAAATGTTCGCTATCTTCCATCACGTCTACTCCTTCATCTCGGCTCACGCCGTCAGCCGCTGCCGTGTCTGGGGGTCGGTGTGCAGGGAGATCAGGTGGTTCCTCGCGCTGCTGCCGTTCTGCCGGGCGCGGCTCGATAGACCTTGGAGCCCCAGGGTCACCTCGTCAGACGCGCGTCTGTCTGGATATGCCGTGTGCTCGCGGAGGCTAGGCTCCGAGGTCGCCAGGTCGATTGGAGCCTTCAAGGAGAAGTCTAGGTACAAAGCTGGGACCCCCGCTATAAGGGCTCGCGATCGCGCACTCTTGGGCTCAGACGTTTTCAGCACTATCAACACTGTCAAGCCGGTGGCCCCCGTCGAGGCTCCAGAGGTCTGGGACGAGAACCCCATCTTCACCGAGATCCCTCAGGAGCTCTTGGACCCCAAGGATTGGCAGCTCGACTTCGCAGCTCGTTTCCTGGAGGTCGAAAACATCATGGTACTCGAAGGCAGGGGCTCCGTGGCAGCCCTCAGGCACCAGCTCCGCTCTCTGTCGTCTTTCGGCTGCTCACTTCTTCATCTTGGGGATACTATATCGCTCATTTTGGCTTCAGAGAAAGGCAGGTCCTCCGCCCCAGGATTGTTGAGGATCTGCAGGCGTCTTCTCGCACTTGCGCTCGCAGGCGACGTGCGGGTGCACCATCGGTGGCGCCCGTCCGAGCTGAACGCGGCGGATGGTGGCTCGCGGCTCTGGGAGGGCTCGGACGCGCTCCTCTGCGGTCCTGAGGCGCCCTGCTTCTTCCAGGGGCCTTGCCAAGCTGACCAGGTCGCTGCCCTTGTCGCCGGAGCTCGTGACAGACATCGTGGAGGTCGCGCGCCCATTTGGCTTGAGAGTGGCCAACGCGATGGCGCTCGCTGCCGTCAAGGCGCAGTCGTGGCCGAGGTATCTCGGCGCCCTGCGCAGGCTGGCCGCCTTCTGCCTCTTCCGGGGCTTGCTGGTGAATTCGCTGGAGTCCGCCGATTTCGCGATGGCCGAGCTGGCGCAGGACATGTACACCGACGGCGACGACCGTTCCGCGGGGCAGGTGCTCTACGCAGCCTGGCAGGCGACTATCCCGTCGGCGGGCAGAGGGGGAGCCTCGCTGCCCCGCACGTCGCGCGCCCTCCTGGCCTGGTCGCGCCTGGAGCCGGCGGTCACTCGGCCGCCGATGCCCTGGCTGGTCGCGGTCGCGGTGGCGCAGGTGATGCTGGGCTGGGGCGAGCCGCTGGCAGCGCTGCTGGTGGTGCTGTGCTTCACGTGCTACCTGAGGCCCTCGGAGGGGCTGTGCTTTCAGGTGGCGGACGTCGTGACGCCGATGTTCCCGACCTCGTCCTTCGTCGCTCTGAACCTTCACCCCGAGGAGAGAGGCCAAACGTCGAAGACCATGGCGACGAACGAGAGCCTGATGACCGACCATCCGAGAAGGCTCTTCGTGGGCGAGGCGCTGCTGATCGCAGCGAAGCTGGCGACCAGCCAGAGGATCTTCCCGTTCTCGATGGTCTCTTTCGCCGCGCTGTTCAGGGCCGCCCAGCTGCGCCTCGGGATGACGAAGCTGCATGTCTTGTACCAGATGAGGCACGGCGGGCCGTCGGAGGACAGGAGGGAAAATGCGAGGACGCCGCTGGAGGTGAAGCAGCGCGGCCGGTGGAGTGCCGACGCCTCGATGAGACGTTACGAGGCGGCGGCCCGGCTTCAGCGAGAAGAGGCCCAGCTGCCGCGGGCCGTGATGACGGCGGCTCTGGCTGCCCTGCAATCGCTGCCAAGCGCCCTTACGGCGTCGCTGAGCCGCCGCCTGGTACCCGCAAGAGGCGCGGCTACTGCATCGAGGTCTTCGCCGGCTGCCGCCGCCTCTCGCTCGCGCTGGCCAGCAGGGGCCACCGCGTTTACACCTTTGACATCGCGCACTCGGCCAACCAAGACGTCCTCAGACCGGAGGCCTGGGCAGCCCTCCTTGAGCTCGCTGTCTCGCCTGCCTGCCGTCTCGTCTGGCTGGGGACCCCGTGCGCCTCCTGGTCCAGAGCTCGGACTCGGAGAGGGGGGGCTGGTCCCGCCCCCCTCCGAGATTCGGGGCCAGGGCTGCTCGGTGCCCCCGGCCTCTGTGACAAGGATTCTGCGAAGGTCCGCCTAGGCAACGCGTTGATGCGTGCCTCGGCAACGCTGGCCCGTGCTTGCATCCTGGCGCGTGTGCGCGTCGTCATCGATAATCCATTCACCTCCAGAATTTGGCTGGCCCGCCCTTTCAACTCGCTCAAGCCGCTCGGAGCCGAGATGTATACCTCTAGCTTTTGTCAGTATGGGACTCCGCGGCAGAAAAAACACGTCCCTTCTGGATTCTGGGTGTCCAGAGCTTTCAGCTATCAAGAGATGTGCCATGAGTAGATGCAGGTGTTCAGCCACTAATAAGAAACACAAGCAACTTGTAGGTAATAATGCAATGGGAAAATTCAAGACTTTAGTTGCACAACTTTATCCGCAATTATTTGTAGAACACATCTGTGGGCTGTTATTGAAGCGCTTCGCGTAGGCCGCTGGCCAGTCCCAAGAATTTGGGATTGGGGATCCTGATTTTTTGTCTTCGGGTGCCTCCGATCTGTGTGACACCTCTGGTCAGCTCGCAGGCCCTTCAGTGCTATCGGATATGTTGTTCATCTCTGGCGGCGATAAATGAGCAGAACCACATGTATGTGCTTGCTCGAAAATGTTGTCTGCGGTGTTGGAGCACCGCCGTCCTTGCAGCATCGGTCCAGTGACACGATGGCTCAAGTTTTCTGGTTATCCCCAAGCCTACCCCTTTCACCCTCCTGCTCAGCAAAGCTGGGGGATCCTGATTTTTGTTTTCGGGTGCCTCCGATCTGTGTGACGCCTTTAGTCAGCTCGCAGGCCCTTCAGTGCTATCGGATATGTTGTTCATCTCTGGCGGCGATAAATGAGCAGAACCACATGTATGTGCTTGCTCGGGAATGTTGTGTGCGGTGTTGGAGCACCGCCGTCCTTGCAGCATCGGTCCATTGACACGATGGCTCAAGTTTTCTGGTTATCCCCAAGCCTACCCCTTTCACCCTCCTGCTCAGCAAAGCTGGGGGATCCTGATTTTTGTTTTCGGGTGCCTCCGATCTGTGTGACGCCTCTAGTCAGCTCGCAGGCCCTTCAGTGCTATCGGATATGTTGTTCATCTCTCTGGCGGCGATAAATGAGCAGAACCACATGTATGTGCTTGCTCGGGAATGTTGTCTGCGGTGTTGGAGCACCGCCGTCCTTGCAGCATCGGTCCATTGACACGATGGCTCAAGTTTTCTGGTTATCCCCAAGCCTACCCCTTTCACCCTCCTGCTCAGCAAAGCTGGGGGATCCTGATTTTTGTTTTCGGGTGCCTCCGATCTGTGTGACGCCTCTAGTCAGCTCGCAGGCCCTTCAGTGCTATCGGATATGTTGTTCATCTCTGGCGGCGCTAAATGAGCAGAGCCACATGTATGTGCTTGCTCGGGAATGTTGTCTGCGGTGTTGGAGCACCGCCGTCCTTGCAGCATCGGTCCATTGACACGATGGCTCAATTTTTCTGGTTATCCCCAAGCCTACCCCTTTCACCCTCCTGCTCAGCAAAGCTGGGGGATCCTGATTTTTGTTTTCGGGTGCTTTCGATCTGTGTGACGCCTCTAGTCAGCTCGCAGGCCCTTCAGTGCTATCGGATATGTTGTTCATCTCTGGCGGCGCTAAATGAGCAGAGCCACATGTTTATGGCGTCTGTTTGCTCTTCTCATCTGGCGAGGGGGGCTCCCCCCGGAGCAGGGCAGAGCAGGGCCTCTTTGCCGCCCGCTCCCCGCGAGGCCTCGGCTGCCCCCGCGGGCTGCTTCATGAGGCCCCGCGGGCGCGGTGGCAGCAGTGCCCCCGGCGGGCGCAGTGGCCGCAGCGCCGACTGTCCGGCGGCGAGCGAGGGGGCTAAGCCCCTGCAGACCGGGCGTTGTTCAACGGGCTGGTAGCGGCCGTTACCCCAGACCCTTTCGAGCCACGAGAGATTCACGACGTGAGTGGGGATTTCCGCTGTGTTCGGCCTCTGGAGGCCTTCACCGGGCCTCGGGACCCGTCAAGAAACGACTCAGGATGAAAAAATTGTCCTGTGAAATAGGTCGAGACCTTTGGGGGTCGACGTTGCAGTGGATACCCTTGCCAAGTAACACCCTGCTTGCTTCCAGGGAGCCTTGGGTTTCCTGGATTCCCGTGGTTTTGAGACGGAGAGTGTGATGTTTTCCCACACCAGAAGTCACTGGACGCCTTGGGGTCTCAGGGTTGGGTCATTATTGTGGAAGGTTTCCTGTGGGCTGGCCTCCGCTGCGGGTCGAGACCTCTTTGGGGGTCGGCGTCATCCTGGGGTCTCAGGGTTGGGTCATTCTTGTGGAAGGCTTCCTGTGGGCTGGCCTCCGCTGCGGGTCGAAACCTCTTTGGGGGTCGGCGTCCTGGACTTTTGACGGCCCAGTTTTCGTAGGATGCTTGCAGCGGGAGATCGCGTCACGTTTCAGTGCAGGTGTCGTCATTTTCCTGATGGTCCCATTAGTCAGCCACGCGCAGAGGGGGTTGGGGGGAGGGGGAGTGCTTCTTAGAAGCACCCCTGCTTCTTAGAAGGCGCGGGCCTTGTCTATAGATGTAAGGCCGACGCCTTCTAAGAAGCAGCCTCCTGAGAAGCCATCCCCCCTCCCTCCGCCCCCTTGTGCGCGCCGCCAATAATTATATAGTAGGGCTCATTTCGATGCCCCCGATTCGACTCGTTTCGATGTCGATGGATTCCGATGCCGACTCGGTCCGGCTCGGGATTCCGATTTGGGCTCCGATTTCTCACTGGACGCATATTGGCCTGCCAATTTCCGCCGATTCGACTTTTTCCAACTCGGCTGTCGATTTCCGCCGATCCGATTCATGTCGATCGCCGATCCGATTTATTGATTCGATTCTGGGCTCTCCTGGAGTTATGAGGATGTGTCGACGTTTTTGTCGTCCCGGTGTATGAGGCACTGGTGCAAGGTAAATGCCTTGTCACGCCGTTCTACCGCTCCGTTTGCTAACGCCCCGTTTGCAGGGGCCTGGGGGGGATAAACATAAACTGTCGACGGTCCGCGCGGAGTTCTTGGATCTGCGCTGGAGCCCCCTGGCGACGCCTCCGGCGCCGCCCCTGGCGCGCTCCGCGTGCCAGGGAGGGGGGTCCGGCGCAGAGCCAGGAAATCCGCACGGACTTCCGAAAGTTTATGTTTATGCCATTTATGCTTCTTTAGAGAAGGAGGAGGCCTTCTCAGAAAGCGGCGGAGCTTCTCAGAATCGGGAAAGTAAGACTCGAGTACGCCAGGACTCGGGTTTGCCGACGTTCTTTGACGAGCGCGTCCTGGATATTGACGGATCAGAGTTAGTAGAAGGTCTGCAGCGGGAGTTGGCGTCAAATTTCAGATTGGGTCTCGTCAGTTTCTCGATGGCCCCGTCAGGCCAACCCGAGTCCCCCGAACCCGAGTCTCACGTCTCCCCGACAGAAGCCCTCGCGCCTTCCGAGAGAGGTTGTCCCTGTCTCTTCGGGAAAGGCTCGGAGAACACCTCGGAAGGCCTGGGGACTGCCGAGCCTGCAGAGCAGGCCCGCCTCCTAACCTCCTCCTCCTCCTCCTCCTCCTCTTCCTCCTCCTCCTCCTCCTCCTCCTCCTCCTCCTCCTCCTCCTCCTCCTCTCCTCCTCCTGCTGCTCCTCTTCCTCCTCCTCACCCTCCTCCTCCTCCTCCTCCTCCTCCTCCACCTCCTCCTGCTCCTCCACCTCCTCCTCCTCCTCCGCCTCCTCCTCCTCCTCCTCCATCTCCTCCTCCTCCTCCTCCTTGCCCCCCGGGCTCGCCGCCGAAGTAGTGTCCCAGCGAGCGCGGTGGCTGGAGCGCCGATTGGCGCGCGCAGGCTGGCTTGGGGTGGGCGTGGGAGGACGTGGAGGTCTTGGGGAAGGGGAAGTTGCGCGACGTTCCCCCCTGTCGGTGCTTCTGGCGCCGCCCCTGGCGCGATCCCCGCGCGTGGGGGGTGGGGCAGCGTCGATCCAAGAAACCCGCACGGGTCTCCGACAGTTCGTGTGCGTGGACGCCTCCCTCTGGCGAGATGAAGCGAGGCCCTGCCTCGATGCTTTGCTTTGTTGCAAGGGGGGGGCCCTGGGCCCCTGCGCGTCGCTACTCGGGGAGGGTGCCAGAGAACACGAGGCCGCCCGAGCTCTCCGAAGCCCGATGCGGGGAGTTTCCGTGAGCCGTCCCCAGACCCCCGACGTGGTGTTTGTTCAAAACATCGACCCCCACAGGCCTCGACCCCTTCCTGGACCGATTGCTCATCTTGAGTCGTTGTTTGACAGTCCCGAGGCCCGGTGAGGTCCCCGGAGGCCGAAAATGGGAAGAAATTTCCCGTCTTGATTTTGTTCACACCGCGACGGGGGCTTGGGTCGGTCTCTTGCGCAGTTTCCCCTCTGCGATGCCTCCTCCACAGGGCGGAGGGCGCCAACCGACCGCCTCGCCTCCTCCTGGGCGGACCGATCTTGGGCCCGAGGTCGGTATATCTAGGCCTCGGAGGATCGCGCCGCATCGACGGTGCACCATCGATGCGGCTCGATGTGAAGCCCGATGTTGTCCACGCTGGCGTCGCCGATGCATCGCCAGTGCGTCGCCGATACATCGTGGATGCATCGCCGATGCGGCGCGATCCTCCGACCCCATCTCGGAGGCCTCCAGTGTAGAATGGCGCCGTCGGGGCGGGGGGGGCGGCTGCAGGGCTCCAGGGCGCGCGCACGCAGCGCGAGGGGGGGGGGCTTCTGAGAGGGCGAGGGTTTTTTGTTCCCAAACATCATGTGGCGTTGCGTCTTCGTCTTGAAGAGACGGCGCCCCGCGTTCTCCTCCTTCCGCCTCCTTCCTCCCTCCTCCCCCTCCCTCTTCCTTGCGTTTCAACCACCCAGTACAGCGTTTCGTGGCCCCATAAGGGAGTTCCACCGAAGGCCCCAGTGGCAGGGTTCGCATGGCGGCCCCGCGTTTTGGCGCACCCCTCACACGGCTCGTGGCCCCATAGGGAGCTCCACCGAAGGCCCCAGTGGCAGGGTTCGCATGGCGGCCCCGCGCCATGATGGAGCACCCTCACACGGTTCGTGGCCCCATAGGGAGCTCCACCGAAGGCCCCAGTGGCAGGGTTCGCAGCCCCCGCGCCATGATGGAGCACCCGTCACACGTTTCGTGGCCCCGCAGGGGGTCCCACCGAAGGCCCCGGTGGCAGGGTTCGCATGGCGGCCCCGCGCAATTCTGGCGCACCCCTCACACTGCTCGTATCCCCATAGGGAGCTCCACCGAAGGCCCCAGTGGCAGGGTTCGCATGGCGGCCCGTTCCATTTCGGCGCACCAGTCACACGGCTCGTGGTCCCTACAAGGGGGCTCCACCGAAGTCCCAGTGGCAGGGTTCGCATGGCGGCCCCGCGCCATTTTGGCGCACCCCTCACACGGTTCGTGGCCCCGTAGGGAGCCCCATCGAAGGCTCCAGTGACAGGGTTCGCATGGCGGCCCCGCGCAATTCTGGCGGACCCCTCTCACGGTTCGTGGCCCCCCAGGGGGCTCCACCGAAGGCCCCAGTAGCAGGGTTCGCATGGGGGCCCCGCGTTTTGGCGCACCAGTCACACGGTTCGTGGCCCCCTTAGGGAGGTCTTATGTACAGAAGTCAGAGCCCCGGCACTCAGAAGCAAGATGGTTTTCGCTCCTCATGCCGAAGCCCTACATGCCGCCACGCTGGTTCTGGGCAGGCTGCGCTGTCCAGCGGAAGGGGACGAGGAGGGGAGAAGCAGGCAGACGACGACGAACGCCCAGGCGGGAGGCCAGGGCCGGCGAGGCGGGCGGGCAGGCAGAAGACGGGCCAGGCGGAGACAGCAGGCAGGGAGCAGGATGAAAGGAAAGGGAAGCAATGAGCAGAAGCGGGGGGAGGGGGAGGACAAGGAGAAGGAGGAGGAGGAGGAGGAGGAGGAGGAGGAGGAGGAGAGGAGGAGGAGGAGGAGGAGCAGCAGAAGCAGGAGGACAAGGAGGAGGGAAGGCAGCGACCGCAAGCAGACAGGCCCGGCCAGGGGCCGGAAGAGAAGAGCCACCCGCGACGAGGCTACGGACCCTACGTCGGCGACCTGAACGAGGTGGCCGCCCGAACCCAGCACGATGCGGCTTGGTGGGGATTGCCCGCTGCTGGATCCATCCACCGCCCCTCCGAGGAAGGGCCGGACGGCGCGTGGGAGGATCGCCGGCGCGACGTTGGCGAAAAGGCGCGGGGGGCGCCCGTGCTGCCCAGCAAGGGCGGGGGGGGAGGGCGGGGGCGCTAGACAGCGCCAGGGGCACCTCACACGGCGTCTGTCGTGGAAGCCGCCGTGGCCGCGGCCAGGCGGGTTGCTGCCGCCCCCGCCCCTCCAGACTGGGTCTGGAGGCGCCGCAACACCGCCCGCGCGCTCTCCCTGTGCAGGGAGACGGAAAGTCGCTGGGCGTGTTGGTCCGCAACCAGTGCGGCGTCTTCACCGGTGGCGTCAGCCACCCGCTTGGCCAGGACCCCGAGGGCCCTGCGTGAGTCGCGGCCCCGCCCGCCGCCGTGGGGTTCCACCACCATGGGGAGGAAGGTGAAGCCCTGTGCCGCGCAGAGCTGCGCAGTGTCCTGACGTTGCCTTTTGAACTCCTCGTATCGCTCCGTCGCTGCGCCTGACGAAGCGGCTGACGCGGCTAGGAGATCGGCGCGCAACCCTGTCCCAGGCGGCCGCCGTGCCGCTGCGCCACCGCGGCTGGTAGACGTCGGCAGGGCGGCGGCCGTTGTCGTCCACCTGGGCCTTGCCCTGTTCACCCCCGGGGGTGGCCTCCCCGGCGGGGCGCGGGGGTGGTAGCCCCGTATGAAGCCGCATCCCGGACCATTTAGCCAGAGAGGTCCGCCTAGGCCATCTAAGCGATCTAGCGATCTAGGTCTGCTGGATCACGGTGGGGGGGACGGGGGGGGCGGGGGCGGGGGATACAAGGACGACAGCGGCGATGAGGAGGAGGAGGAGGAGGAGGAGGAGGAATATGAGGAGGAGGAAGAGGAGGAGGAGGAGGAGGAGGAGGAGGAGGAAGGTGAGGAGGAGGGGAGGAGGAGGAGGAGGACGACGAGGTGGATTAAGAGGCCAGGCGAGGCGAGGCGCCGACATACGTCCCGAAGGACGGCCATTTGAGAGCGCGGCGGGGGCGCCGGAGCGCCGATAACTCAATGGACCAGACAATGGATTTTCCGCTTCATTACAACACTCTTTGAATAATGATTTCCGCATGTCTTCGCATCGTGCTTTGGATTAGGAGGGGGAGGAACAGGAGGAGGAGGAGGAGGACGACGACGATGACGGCGACGACGAGGATGACGACGATGACGATGACGACGACGACTACGACGACGAAGATGACGACGATGACGATGACGACGACGACGACGAAGATGACGACGATGACGATGACGACGACGACGACGACGACGACGACCTAGACGATGACCGTCGGTTTTCTTCTGAAGCCAGAGACTTATGTTCGTCACCATCGTCGTCATTATTGCCACTACCGTAACCATTTTTGCTCAAGTGGTCGGTTCGCTGACCGAAGTACTAGTGTCATTCGCCTCGCCGCAGAAGTGGATGTCCACGTTTCGTTGTTCAGGGATTCTCGGTGTTGCGCGATTGTTTGCAGCCAGACACTCTGTGGCGCTGCAGGAAGTTAGCGGCCGCAGCGCCCAGGCGGCATACTATCAGAGCTTGGATGGGCACAATATGTTGCCCGATGTGTTTGTGAAGTACCATGTTATGAATCAGCAGGGCGACGCCGCCGATGTACATGTTCGCAGATCCGCAGCAACGGTGCTCACGAACTGCAAAATAAACGAGGAATACACAGACCCGCTGATTGTTCTCTGTCTTCGCATCATCGACAAAGTCAGGGCGAAGTCGTTCGAAAGGCGGATGGCCGCCGCAGTGTGTGCTACGATCAATGGCCGTTCTTTTTTGAAGGAGCTGTTGAAGAAACTCGTCGGAGAGGGTTGGACAGGCGCCCAATTTTGGGAAACCGCTCATACGTTAGTGCACAACATAGATCCCGAACAGCTTTTCACTGGCGCGTTCAACAAGCAGGCGCTCGAATCAAAAAGCAAGCGCGAATTAGCGAACAAGCGTCTGATTCGAATCAGGGACAAAATGAATCAAGACATCAATTTCGATAACGCCTCGCGCCTGCAAGTGTCACTGGATCTGGTGAAAGTCTGCGGCAAATTCTTGGGCAAGAACGCTTTTTCTCTGCTGGAGCAGTCCTACGCGAACAGGTGCCGCCGTCCAGGGTGGTGCTCGCAACGCGGGGCGCTCATGGGCCCAGGTGCTGTGGCGGGCGTAAACATCATCAGCGGGATGTGGAAGCAGAGCGGGACGGGCAGCGCCATGCTCGGGGATGCGCTGCAGCAGTGGGACGAGTCTCACGATAATATGGAGGAGCTGCGTCGTCTATTCCGGAATGATTTAAACTCTCTCCGCACGTTGGCCAGGAAGTCGCGCGGTGAGAAGCGGGCCTTGGCTGGGGAGCTATGCGATGCTTTGGAGCACCTTCTTGGTATGTCTGATACAGGCTTGCAGTTTGTGTGCTGTGAGATAGCAGAGGTCGTCGCATTTCACTACAACCTTCACAAGCGGTGCTGGCGCCTGAGCAAGCTCCGCGGCGACGTGGGCAACGCGGCCGGCAGCGAGGGCGAGGGGGATGGCCGCGAGAGCGACGACGACGACTGAGCCTGCCAGAAACAGAGCCAAAAACAAGCGAAAGACCAGGCGACCCGCCAAGAAAAAGCACACACACAAAAAACCTCTTGCCCATTAAAGCTTTTTGGAGGCCTGGAACCTGGTAGTGGGCAAAAGCGTTCGGGTTGTTTTGGCCTCGCTAATTGTGTCTCGAGACCCGACAGAAGGCCGTGGCGACCAGATAGCACCGCCACAGAAAGCAGAAACCGATCCCAGGGGAAATCCAACGATTCGGCCCGCAAACACCAAAAAACGCCGTTGCCCACTAAGGCTTTTTCAGGGTCAGAAACCTGGTAGTGGGCAAAAGCTTTTCGGCTTGATTTGAGCGCATTCGAATGGCTGGCGCCACTCCGCCGAACACTCAGAAGGAGTGGGTGCTTGCGACAATAATGGGGATTATCAGCTGGGTCAGGAGCTCATTGTATACGTATGATGGGTATCTCGGGGTGCTCCTCAAAGGCTTCTCGAAGGGCTCTGGGGATCTTCTCGGGGGCTTCGTGGGATCTGGGATCCAGGGATTCGGAGCTCAAACACAAAAAAACGCTCTTGCCCACTAATGCGTTTTAGAGCCAGAAGCCAGGTAGTGGGCAAGAGCTCTTCGAAGGGCTCCGGGGGGCTTCTTGGTCTTCTCGGGAGCCCGTCGTCGTCGACGCCAGCGCGAGGCATCTATGCGCAGTATCATCGCCATCTTTGCCACCGTCGTCGCAACCGCTGTGGCTCGACCGCAGAGTGGCCCCACCTCGCTCTCGCGGCGCCCTTCGGGGGCGAGGGGGGGCGCCCAGCGCGGGCGCGGCCAGTTAGAGTGCGCTCGGGGGATGTCCTGGGGCGAGCGGGATCGGGGGCGGAGCCGCAGCCCGCGGCCGAGCCCGCGGTCGGCACCTGCGCCGTCGGCAAGCACGGCGTTCCCCCCAGGCAAGTACAAGGAGAGCGTATTCCAGAAGTTCGGCCGCAGTTCAAGTGCTTTCGCGGACCGTTTCACGGCGGTGGTCGACGACGTCGACATGGGCGATGAGGAGATGTCGCTGAACGATCAGGTCGAGAAGACGCACGCTGCCGTGAAGAAGCTGGTGGAAAGGAACGTCGAGCGCCTCGGGAAGAAGTATGATGAGCTGTGCGTCGTGAAGACCATTGTCGACGAGATAAAACGGGGCGGCGTCCGCGTCCACGATCTCTTCCTCCTGCGCACGTTCATGGCCGTCTTCGGCGGGCCGAAGAGCCCGTGGCGCGCGCGCGACGGGCAGGCGTATCGGTACCGCAACGGAGCTTGGAAACACGCCGCCGCGATGAACGTCCAGCAGGCGCTGCGGTTAGAGAACGCAGTGAACCAAGCTGATGCGATCCTTCTTCGCATGAGCAAGGACAAGAACGTGAAGCGCCCGTCGTGGGACGAGGGGTGGCTCGTCGACTACCGCAGCCCCGCTGCGGCGTTGCAGGCCGACGTGGACGACGACCCTGATGAGAGCTTCTCGATCGCGCGCAAGATGCTCCGCGAAACATTGACGAGGTTTCTTAGTCCTGGGAGCAACAACATTTTCAAGACGTTCTGCAAGTGGTGCGACCAGAAGAAGCGAGCGGAGCCTCGTCTGGCGTTCAAGGACGCGCGTTTGGAGACCCAGCCTGGCAAGGCAGCGAAAGAGATCAAGAAGGGCCCCGAGGTCAACTGCTACGCGTACATGGACCTGTCCATCAAGTACAAGCCGCCCGCGGCCGACGTGGACAGGTACGACCTCATGATGGCCGCGCTGTACGGGAGCGACGTAGAATCCAAGGAGATCGAAGTCCTCGGCGAGGCGTTGGCCCTCATGCACCAGCGCCAGCCACCTCGCGTGCGCGTTCGGAAGGGCAAAGGCCAGGCGCTCAGGATCGGTCGGTATTGATATCATATTGCGGTCTACGCGATCTAGCGATCAAGAGATCTAGGTTGGCTAGATGGCGGCCCGTGCGATCTATGCGACCTATGCGATCTATGCGATCTATGCGATCTATGCCATCTATGCGATCTATGCGATATATGCGATCTATGCCATCTATGCGATCTATGCGATCTATGCGATCTATGCGGTCTATGTCGCATAGATCGCATAGATCGCATAGATCGCATAGGCGGGCCTCCTTGGCCAAATGGTCCAGGGGCGACCTAGATCGCATAGATCGCACAGATCACATAGATCGCTGGACCTCACAGGTCTCGGGATCTGTGCGATCGATGCGATCTATGCGGTCTATGCGATCTGTGCGATCTATGCGATCTATGCCATCGGAGCGATCTATGCCATCGGAGCGATCTATGCCATCTATGCGTTCTATGCGATCTATGCGATCTATGCGATCTATGCGATCTATGCGATCTATGCGATCTATGCGATCTATGCGATCTATGCGATCCATGCGATCTATGCGATCTATGCGATCTATGCGATCTATGCGATCTATGTATGCGATCTATGCCATCTATGCGATCTATGCGATCTATGCGATCTAGGTTGCATAGATCGCATAGATCGCATAGATCGCATAGGCGGGTCTCCTTGGCTAAATGTCCAGGGGCGACCTAGATCGCATAGATCGCATAGATCGCATAGATCGCATAGATCGCATAGATCGCATAAATTACATCGATCGCATAGATCGCATAGATGGCATAGATCGCATAGATCGCATAGATCGCATAGATCGCATAGATGGCATAGATCGCATAGATCGCATAGATCGCATAGATCGCATAGATCGCATAGATGGCATAGATCGCATAGATCGCATAGATCGCATAGATCGCATAGATCGCATAGGTCGCATAGATCGCATAGATCGCATAGATCGCACAGATCGCATAGATCGCATAGATCGCATAGGTCGCATAGATCGAGTAAATCCCCCAGGTGGCAAAGGCAAGTCGCTGCGCTCGAAGCTGTCCTTGGCCGCGCTCGGCGGGACCATGGTGAAGTTCGCCAGCACGTACTTTCTCACCAGAGACAGAGTTTCAAGTCTCCGCCAAGCGCCTCATCGGCGCCATGGCCGTGATCTTTCAGGAGGTGCAGAGGGGCGAGAAGATCCAGGAGGTTGTTGCCAAAAACTTGTTCGCCAGGGCAGAGCTGCTCGTTCGTGAGAACCACGGGAAGGCAGAGGATGAGCGCTATTATGCGTGGGCGTTCGCGGACTTTGTCATCGAGCTGAATCACGCGTTCCGCATCGAATGCGACGATGATGCGGTTCACGCGCGGCGGCGCCGTCTGCTGCTGATCGCCTTCGAGGGCGACTTCACTCGCAACGCTAGCTTGGTTTCGGTTGAGCGCGGCCTCTTCTTGGCTGACCCCGAGCTGGAGGAATGGGCCTCATCTGGCGTGGCAGGTTTCATCCGCATGACCCGAGGTATCCTGCCCATCATTGAGACGTACTCGGCGACCGCGGCATACGACATGCTGGACAATCCCTCTCCCGCGCGCACGGCAATGAACGAGGAGCTTCTGAATGACATCAGGGCGTCGGACGGCCGCGACGCAGCTGGCTTGGCAGGGGGGCCTCGTGGCCACAGCGGCCAGGCGGGCGCCGCAACGGACCCCCTCCGCCAAGCCTCCACGCCCCTCGCCGTCATGCATCTCGACGAGGACACCTGCATGACGGACAGCAACCGAGAGCGCGCGAAGGCGGGGGCTTGCATCAAAGGGGGGCGCCAGGCTGATAAGAAGGAGGCCTGGGACCGCATGAAGGCCGCGGCCATGTGGAAACCCGTGGAGCGACAGTGGGGCCGCAAGGTCCCTTACTTCTTTCCAGCCGTGTGCGCCGACGCCGACCTCGGCGCGCTGTTCCCCGACATGGACAACCTCGCGATTCCCGTCGACACCGCCTTCCCCGAGGAATTCAATCTGGACCGCCTGAAGGACTACGTGCGTTGCCCGGAGAGGATGCGCAACCATCGTGCACTGATCGGGCATCTCCAAGCAGCGCAAGAAGGGGCGGCGGGCATCGCAAGGAAAAGCCGATCTCCGCAAGCCGATCTGGAAGTATTCCAGGCGCGGTCGCGACACGAGGAGTCGCTCAACTCAGCGGAGGCGGCGGCTAATCAATTGCTCGAGGAACATCAGGGCGGCGATGTGGCCCTCCAGGTCAAGTACCACTTCTCGGCCATCGGGGGCATTCGCGTGCGCAGCAGGAGACGCGCAGAGGGCACGGCGTCGCAGAACCTGAGCAAGCATATCCAGACGATTTTGCAGCCAGACGTCGTGAAGTTGGACTTTCGCAAGTGTTTCCTGACCCTGGCGCCCCAGGTCATGAAGCGTCTGAAGATAGATTTGAACGGCCACTCTTCGGAACAAGGGCGCGCCATCGAGGCCGTCGCCGCATGGCCCGACATCGACGCCAAGAAGACCGACCGTAGCGCTCAGCGTTTTGTTTGGCAAGAAGAATGCGGGCGACCAGCGCCAGGACATGGAGCGCGACGCGAGAGTGCTCCGCTGGGCGGCGACGTCTTCCCTGCCCGAGGTCTTCCAGGCAGCCGTCGAGGACGGGAGAGACAACCCTGAGCTCACATGCGTGTCGAGGCTTCTTGAGGGGGCGGAGGGCGCCTGCACCGAGGCGCTGGTGAAGTTCGTCCAGGAGAAGCGGGGCGGCGCAGTGTCCCACCTTGCCTGGGAGTTCGACGGCATCGGAGTGGACGTCGGCGTGCTTGAGGACGAGCACGCTTTCATCACGGACGCGGATAACTACGTATACAAGGCGACGGGTTATAAGATGCACCTCGCTGCGAAGAAGGAGCGCTCGTTGCTCGAGACGCTCGTGGCGAACGGGACGCAGCTGGCCGTCGACGACGGGCCTGGGGGCCCCGACCAGCTGGCCTCGTACTTCACCGATGGGAATTGCATCCAGGCCGCAGTGGTGACATCCTGCGGGCGCGGCAAGCCGGCCCTTCCAGCCCCAGAGTCAAAGTCGCGCTCCTATCGCGAGGTCGCCGAGCACTTCGAGATCAACCTCCACGGCGCCTGCGTCCTGGACGT